GTCGTGCTGGCCGCCCTGGTGGCGCTCGCTACGGCTTCCGGGCCGTACCCGCGCTACGGCTACCGGCACTACGGCTACGGCCACCCCGGCTACGGCTACCCGCACGGCCGCTACGGACGCTCCCTGCGCTACCACGGCTACCCCGGCTACCACGGATACGGATATGGCTACTCTAGTGCCCACGTGCATAGCTACGGACCGGGATATGGGTACGGATATGGTTACCACGGCTGAACGAAAATGGAGATAATGTGTAAAGATCGCCTGCATACCTCATCACGTTTTTTGTAGTGTGGAGTTTGAAATAAAACATGAGCTCAGAATATGTGTTATCGATGGCAGGGCATATCGACGGTCAAGTCAAGGCTATAAAACTCCGTGGAAAGTCAAGTGGAGGAAAATGTCCCTGCTCGTCTTAAGCAGCGAAAAAAAAAACTGAATATGAGGATGTTGGGTCATGCATATCACTCTACTTAACAATGAACACCGTTTCGAATGTAACCAAGGAAACCATTGAGCCACAGACATTGCACAAATATGACCATGAATGCAAATATAAATAGGTCGCGTGAAAAAATGCGCCAATTTTTTTGTAGGGTTGAAAGGGATTTAAATCAACTTTTATATAGGCCAACAGATTGCAAGAGTAGCACAAAATATATACAAGCATACAACAGCCAACAGGAAAGGCAGATATAACTGAAATATGAACTTAAATTCAAGTACGAATAAAACATCCCATGATCGTCTATTACCTTCACATCAACAGCCTCCTTCAAGCCAGCAGACTTCAGCCTGCTTAAAAATGATGAACTTGGCGTTGTATGACAATTAGCAGGTGCACAAGTCAATGACACTCATTCTGGACCACATCACTTGACCAGAAAGACTGGCCAGTCGGAATATTTAATTCAAATGATTCATTCCAGATATCCTTAGATGTGCCTTAGAGAGTTAAGCATATTAATTAACTTCAAACGAAACAAAGTCCTCGTTCATTTAATGTCAAAGATGAGTCAAAATGGCTCAAGAAGTAACCAAACTCGCTAAAATGCCCCCGTAAAAACATAACATATGTAAGTCCAGGCACTCGAACAAGTAAAAATGCAGCATGACCGGACTTCTTCAATCTCATTTGTAACAAACCGAAATATTCCAATAGAATCTGCCACCAACTTATGTCGCTGAGCTTCAAAGGCAGGTCAGTTGAACCAAGGTTTCAAATTTGACATGAGAGCCCTCTGGATATCTAAAAATGCCATTAGGTATTCTTAGATGACTTCTTCATTGACTACTTCATCAGGATCTCCATATCTTACACAATAAGCTACGCATTAATCATTCATCTTATAGTAAGTTTTTTTATACTTCGGTAACCTATTTCGGTAAGATGATGTAAGCTAACAGTAAGCAATTTCGCTGTACGACTTTGCCTCTACAAATGTTAACGAAAACGATAAGATCGTGTTGTAAAATTTGACTCGTATCGTGCGTATAGGAGAAGTAATGATACCCGTCGTCAAACCTACGGTGACTATAAATACCATCCTCCTTTAGTGCCCGGCACCCGAGACATGAGACTCTTGAAGGGGATGGTCTTCGGTTGGTGGGGGCAGCTGCAGAAAATTGAAGTCAGTGGAGTGGGACGGGCTGAGTCGGGCTTTGATGGAATTGGTCACGCTAAACTTTGGCATCTAAAACTTTCCAATACCCAGAATAGCACGAGCGAACAGTGGGGACAGGGGCTTACGCATTCAAGCTCTGCTTGGCGTCGGCTCCGGCTCAGTCAATCCGTCCTTCCATTCAAACATTAGAGCGACATTTAGAGAGAGAGCGAGAGAGAGAGAGAGAGAGAGAGAGAGAGAGAGAAGGAGAGGAAAGAGAAAGAGAGGAGAGAGAGAGAGAGGGGGGAGAGAGGAAAGAGAGAGAGAGAGAGAGAGAGAGAGAGAGAGAGAAAAAAAAAAACTGGAAGTATCCGGTGAATATATGAATGTTAGCTCCAAGAGTTGTTCAGGTTTCAGTTGCGCAAATATCTGCAGGATTTCTTAACCCTCGCCCGCACATGCCATTTTCCCATCCTAGAACGCACATGGGGGGTGGGGGTGGTTGCCACCCCCCCCCCCCCGCGCCGTTTCGTTCCTGTTGGAGATAGAGCTTAGCGGTAAAGACCAAAAAGATTCTTTGGGAAGAGACGAATCCAATGATACCCGATTTTACCTTCTCAGGTCAGTCATTGACCTTCCAGGTCAGGTCAAACTAAAAAATGTTGCTTTTTTGGGTCACCGTTGGATATCAAGTGCGCTGCTTATCATATACCGATGACGATGCCGTTTTCTGGTGCCAAGCCAGCTAGAACCTCTTTGTCACACTACCCGACCAGATTTTTGCTGCTGAGGTCATTTCAGGTCAAGTTAGGTCAAGGTCAGTTATATGTGTTTGTATGTCTGTGTGTGTCTGTGTGTATACTGATGTGTTCACCGATTGTTTTTGTGTCCATATTACATGAAATCATGATCTGAGAAGCTTTTACCAAAAATGCAGGCAAAAAACTTCACAAAAAGTAAATTTAGCTTGCCTAAAACGCAATTATCTTAGATGACCTAGGTTGACCTTGACCCTGACCTTGACCCCTGTACATCGTCGAACAACATGTTCCATGATAGGTGGGAGGTAAGACTGGCAAAAAAGGCCGAAATCAAGGTGTCAAAAGCTCACAAGGCCCATGGCAAACGCAAGATGTTGAGAATTGGCCATTTGGGTCATGACATGACCTGACAAACAAGGTCATATCTCCGAAACCAAAAATCACAGAAACTAGAAATTTTCAGTGGACATCAAGAAAGGATAGAGGAGCAGCTATACGAAAAATCAGCCTTCTAGCTCTAAAAATGTTGAGTGCAGAGCAGAAAGACTACCTGGGGGGTGGCAACCACCCCCCCCCCCCCATGTGCGGGCGAGGGTTAATAGCGGAAAGTAACATTTTGAAATCAATTGAACAAAACACACCGATGACTGAATGAGTCGAATCACCAAAGCTAACAAGAAAATTACCCACATAGACAAGCATTGGGTGGTGGTGGTGGGGGGGGGAGGTAATTTAGGATGTGGGTAACAAATCCTGCAGGCGCGGAGAAGATATCGAAAGAGCGACGAAAGAGCGAAAAAAGGAGCTGGGTGCAAGGTTCAATAACACAAACTTATTTGCTGAATAATAGAAAAGAAAAACGCACTCCGCATATTTCAATATCCAGAAAAGTTGAAGAATCTCTCATTGGAGAGCGTTCTGCACTAATGCGCATCGTGCCGTAGGGGAGAGTGGGGTAAGATGCCCAGGGTGGGAAAGACGCCCCACCCCCTCTAGCGGCGAAACAAAGAATCAAACCTGGAAATAAATGTTCTTAGCGTAAAGCGGAAGCCTGCCTTGTTAACTGCACAAAAATTTGCGAGGCTCAGTTGGGCAACGGCTGGCTGGTGATTGCATGTTTTTTGTTTGCTGCTTTCAAAAAATATTTTGGTGTCAAAACATTGTAAATATCAAAGAAGGTAGATAATTTTTGCGTCCCTTGCTATAGTCGTGATAAATTGACATGCGTGTACTGTGTCCCAAACAGTTTGTTTCAGGGCGTAGTTTTATGGCTAACAAATTGTACTGATTTAATGTTACCGCGGTACCTTGGGGTAAGATGCCCCCTGTCCTGATGGGGAAAGACGCCCCCCTAAATCCGTAGGCTGTCCTTCAAGCAGCCCGTCAAATCATTTGTTACATACCTGTGATGAGAGACAAAAGCCGATCTGGGACTATTGAGAGTCAAGTACGGTCGGGTGCTCCCCATGCCGGTCTCTCGGCCCACACAGCGACTTTTTGGGCGGCATCTGACTCTGGAGCCCTTACGCGGGCCTCTGTGGGCCACATTATTGGCTCCAGGGCCCCTCACGACATCCTTTGAGGGCTCCCACGTTGGCTCCACGGGCCGCGCTGGCATCTGAGGTCCCCACGATTGGCTCGAGGGCCCTCAAGCATCATGAAGACCTATAAGGGCCCCACAGTGGTCTCCGAACGCCACCACGGAGGCTTGTTTGGCCGCACTGGACTATGATGGCCCTAACGATGACCTCTGAAGCCCCTTACGACTACTTTTGAGGGCCCTTACGATGACGTTTGGTGTCTACTGCAGGCCCGAAGGGACTACTGATTCGTTCAGGCGATTCACGTGCCCATTTATGTCACTTATAGTGCAGGGGGCATCTTACCCAACGCCAGGGGGCGTCTTTCCCACCCTGTGGGGTAAGATGCCCCCTTTCACTTCTTCAGGAAAATGCTTAGTAGCAAAAAAAGTTATCACATTTCAAGCACGAAAGTGTGATATTTTTGGAGAAAAATGATGTCGGCTTCCGCTGAAACTACAAGTTATTGCTTTCCGATTGTCATTTTCGAATAATATATGATATAGTAAAACCCTGGGCATCTTTCCCCACTCTCCCCTACGAACTACAGCCTCTTTGCAAAGCACATCACACCACTCTGACTGTGCTGCAGGTAAATCTTCCAGCGCCCCTCCCGCTCTCTAACCAGGCACCAGTCCTACCCCAACACTGATACGACCCTGTGTAGCCGCCCAACCACTTCCCGTGTCTTAGCGCACCTACCGGGCCTCACGCATCGCTCCCAATTTATTGTCACGAACAGCCATCCATCTTCCAAACTTGGCACCACCAACGGTCACGACGCGCACGAGTAAAGCGTTGGTTCGTTAACCAGCCGCCCGAGCGACCCGTGACCCCTAGACCGTGACATTGGCCGTGACCTCGCCCGTGACCCCGCCCCGCCTATCTACGTCACCGCCCCCTCCCCTCGCCGTCGGGGGGGGGGGGGGGGCGGACATACGCAGCAAGCAACGCAGTGGGGTTACCTCCCCCAATCTGGAGTTGTTTACGTCGAACGCGCGGTAGGTGGGAAACGAACTAACCTCGGCCGTCCGTCAATTCGTGGGGCACGGCCACGTTCCGAGTTGGGTGGGGTGAGAGATATAAACAGGGGGAGCCGGGGACTTCGACAGACACACCCTCAGCTCACAGCAGCTCACGCAGCTCAGCTCAGCTCAGCTCAGACAAGATGAACGCCAAGACTCTGGTAAGTAAAGGCGAGCAGAGACGGTTTGGGTTTGAGTGTGGCTCTCTTTTGTGGCTATGCTGGATTCAAAGAAACGGAATTCAATAGTGGGAGACTGCTACATTTTGAGGATATTAGTTTATCTTAGGTGGTTAAAATGACGTGATTTTTACCGTCATATTTATTAATTTTACTTTTTCCATTTTGAACGCAAAGAATTTCCGATAAATATCCGTCAATCGACTGCAATCGAAGAGAGTGCTGTTACCAATTGGCAGTTGATATTCAGTAAAGCTATTGGCCAAGCATTTCAAAGCTACATTTATGGCGCTTGCTCCTTCCTCCCCTACCATAAACGTGTAGGGCCTCATTTTCTGACCCCCCACCCTCTACCCTCCCCAGATGGTTCTGTTTGCCGTGCTCGCCGTCCTCGGCGCCGTAGCCTCCGCCGCGCCGGGCTACCCCTACGGCTACGGCTACAGCTACAGCCATGGACACGGCCCGTACTACGGCTACGCCCGTCCGTACGGATACGGACCGCACTACGGCTACCGGGCCCATCCGTACGGGTACGGATACAGTCACTACGGATACCACTAAGACGGTCAACACACTGCTCACTGGACGACGGTACACGACAGCTATAATCACTGCCGAGAAATGGGAACTGGAGAAACGGACTTTTGCGGATGTCGCAAGAAGGCGCAGCTGATGCCGAATGGTGTTCATTTTTGTGCAAAGGAACGATCTGGTGTGGGGAAAAAAGAAAGGTACAGTGAGAGTGGAATGATCCCTACCTCTGCTGTTCAAATGTGAATCAATTGGTCTGATTATGTTCGCGCCTCGCGGAGCTAATTTGTAGTTGATAAGATCAACAAGCACACCTGAATCTGAATCTCAATAGCTTGTAGAATGCGGTATTTGGGACATAATGGCCATTATCCACAGGTAAATATGGTGAATGATGAATAAATATGTTCTATCAGAACTGACCGTCCTAAGCTTTCTTCGGCAAAGTAGGTATACAGAAGAAAAAAAAATGTTTGTAGCTGACGATGAACCAAGCACTGAATATTAATTATTCGCATCCTTAGCAGCTGACAACTGAAATCAACTATAAGGTCGGGTCGTGACAGTTGGAACTTCTTGTCAGACCATGAAGGGAAAGCGGGTATTGCACACATCTCTATATCCGACAGCAGAGACGCCTGGCGGCGGCTGACAGAAGCTGCAGTGACCAGCCCGCTGGAGACTGCAACGCAGTGTAACAGGGTATCCGGCGACTGCCACTCGGCATAGGAAGACATCGCGAAGCGACGCGTAGCTTTTTCAGTTTCCCTATGAAATACAAACATAAAATGCCCACCGACAAGGGCATTTATTTTGAGCAATCTGGACACCTTGGTTTGTCTTGTGTTCAAATTAAACCTAAAGCAAAGCTCGCCATAAGCCAAAGCGTGAAAGAGCGGTAGAACACAATCTCAGATTAGATTAGATTAGGAAATCAACCTCAAGTTAATCTCAGATTAGATAAGATTAGGAAATCAAGCTTTCCCTTCCCAACAATCAGCATCCAAACTGCGCACTTCCGCACTGATTTCCCAGCTAATCATGGTTCGTCAAACGGTGATTCGCATCCATTCCGGCCAGTCACCGAAAGAACACACGGCAAACCCGGCACTAGATCCACACACACAGACATACACACAGCGGGCGAGAGCAAATAACACTAGGATTTTGATGACGTCATCGGGAGAGTAGCGCCGGTTGACAGCGAAAGAGTAGTGTTGGTAGTGGAAGTTGTGCAAGGCGAATGCTTGCTACTGACTACTGAGTATGACAGTACAGAGTTTCAGTAAGAAACTGTCATGTTCAAAATTCAGAGATGCAGGCGTCAGTCATCATGTCAAGATCACATAGTTAATAACAAATACATATAATAAAATAAGTGAGACGTGGTTACTTCTTGTTTCTCAGAGCACTGCACCACCATCTTTCCTCATACAAAGTCTGAAAGTCGTAACGTGCATCCCGGACAATCACCAAGTCAAACCCACCTATGAAATCCCCGTTCGGGAAGTGCTAACAATAATACACACGCCGGCTGGAATAATTTAGCGGCGGCTTCCATTAGTGGTTGAAGATGGACAAGGAGCAGCAGTGTGACAGCTAGGGATGAGATAAGCCTACTATAAGGCCACAGTACTGTGGCTTATTTAGAAGTCCGGGCTTTGCGATTAATGGACTGCCGGAAATATGCGTCCATCAAATAAAACAAGATTGGAAGTTGTATGTAATGTTTCGTTGGAAGCATCAGTTAACAACATCAATTAAGCAGGCAGAAGGAAGACGAGTGATTGCATAGGTGCGTCCTTTCCTTACTTGATGACTTGTCTTGGAGTTGGCGACTGATCTCTCGGGTGTCTGGTGTGGACACTTGGGACAATAGACTGAAATTTGATCAGTCCTGCACTGATTTGGAAGTTACGTGGCCTTGGATTTAAATGTGGATTGGAAGGGGAGAGACAACTGTTCGCGCTACTGATAACAGTGGATGGAAAAAGAAAAAGACGCTTGTTCGCACCTCTACAGCAACAGGTGGGGCCAGTAACTACTGAGTACAGGTGAATGACCGAGAAAGTGCAAAGTCCGGCCTATAAACTGTCTGTTTATTCGGGGAGACTGCCCCTGGCCTGCAGCCTACTGAGCGGCATTAGGCAAAATAACAGGCTGCTGATTGGTTGGTTGCAGAAAAACAGTGCAGATAATCACATAATAGTCGAAAATATTGCTTCGTGATAACATGAATCATTACAGTAGGTATTCAAGTGATACGAAAATACATAACTGGCATGATTAAAACTTAATTCAATGTTAGGTTTGTAAAATTGTTCCGGGAAAAATATTACTTGAAACACCCCAAATGAAATCATCGATTGCACATTTGCATGATGCACGTTTGCACAAAGCTTCCGTATATGTAGTTTCAGTGGTTGACAGGTAAAACATTTCAGCTATACTAACTAGTTAGAATATAACTCAAGGACTCACAAGTTGTGACTTGTGAAGTTTCGCGTACTCAAACAACTTCGCGATCACACTCCAATAGCAATGCATTTCCTCACAAACTGTATTAGCTGATTGCCAAGCATCCCAAAAAACGAGCACGGGCAACGGCCAGCCCGCACCACCGAATCCCCCCAGCCCGAGTGACGTCATCCATTCGTACACACCTGACCGTGACGTCACGACAGTACACACACGGCGGTTCGTCGTAACTGCCATGGAAACATACGGCGGCGTCTCATGGGACCGATTACCATACTCAAACACGGGCCCACCAGAGCTTTGGCGTATAAAAGCGGCCCTGGCGGAGGATAGGCCAGAGTCGGTACAGAACGGAACAAGATCGGAGGGAGAAGAGCAGGCGGACCATGAAGGCTTTGGCGGTAAGTCCAGACTGTATAAACTTGAAGGGTATGAAGAATTAGCTTCATTTTTTTCGAGGACTCATTAGCGTAGCACTTTGTGTAACTGGTTTTTATTTCGCTCATTTTTTCACTGCACTTACGATACAGGTAATTAATTATCTGCCTTGCTTACGTAGTGAGGTATCTGAAAAGGGTTTCTTTGGGTGATCTCATTGCTGACAAAGAATTGTTCAAAATAATACTTAGTCACATTTGCTACAAAATGTAATAATCGAAACCGTATTTTTTCAATCATTCAAAAAGTCGAAAACTAGCAAACACAGAAAAACTCCCTCAACGAGAGTTGAACCCACACCCTCACTGTCCCTCCACTCTTGCAGGTTCTGGCGCTGTGTGTCAGCGCGGCGGCCGGTCTCACGCGAGACGGCACCTACTGGGGTCGTCCCGGATCTGGCCTCCTCGGCGGCACCCGTAGAGGTAGCGGCGGCGGTGGGTACTACCCCAACGGAGGGGGTAGCGGCGGTGGATACTACCCCAATGGAGGGGGTAGTGGGTACTACCCCAGCAGTGGCGGCGGCGGCAGCGGACACAGTAGTGGTACCAGCGGAAACAGCTACTACCCAGGACCGGTGATTCCAGACTACCCACCGCGGTACAGGTCAGTTGAATACCCAACACCCAGGCTGGGTATAGGATAGTGATTCATTTCATGCTGTGTGATCATCAATGTTGATTTCATTTTTGAAATATGTTTTGTCTTGTTTTTAAGGAGCAGCCAGAATCATTTTATGTTCAATTCTGGTGACACGAACATGTGATTGAATCAGTCTTTTTTAATGCGTCAGCTCCCATTAAAACAACCAAATCATGAATATGAGTCGCTGCTACCTAGCAGCAGATGTGCCAAATAGCACATACTTTCCAGTAAAGACATAGTAAGGATCGGAACCAAAGTCGCTAAACTGCACAGAAGAAAGCATCGCTTCCTTTGCACTATCTCCATCATACCCATACCTACCACTCAGCCACTCACTCCCCAGAAACCTTAAGTTACCAGCACGTCATCTGTTTCACAGGTACCGCCGGGACACCACTGGAGCCGTGATCGAGGACCGTCCCGTACCGCCGCCAATAAACTACCAGCCCGAGCAGGACTTCCAGGGCGTCATTCCCGACCCCAGCCCCAACACTGGGGGTCAGTTTATTCCCGGACACCCTAATCCCAATACTGGGGGTCAGTTTATTCCGGGGCATCCTAATCCCAACTCTGGGGGTCAGTTCATTCCAGGCCATCCTAACCCTAACAGTGGGGGTCAGTTCATTCCAGGACACCCTAACCCCAACACTGGGGGTCAGTTTATTCCAGGCCATCCTAATCCGAACACTGGAGGCCAATTTATTCCTGGACATCCGAACCCTAACCCCAACACTGGGGGTCAGTTTATTCCCGGACATCCTAATCCCAACACTGGGGGTCAGTTTATTCCCGGACGTCCCAACCCTAACAGTGGGGGACAGTTTATTCCTGGACATCCTAACCCTAACACTAACTCTGGAGGTCAGTTCATTCCAGGCCATCCTAATCCGAACACTGGAGGCCAATTTATTCCCGGACATCCGAACCCTAACACCAATACAGGGGGCCAATTTATTCCAGGACACCCCAACCCCAACACCAACTCTGGAGGTCAGTTTATTCCCGGACATCCTAACCCTAACACCAATTCCGGAGGTCAGTTCATTCCTGGACATCCCAACCCGAACACCAACTCTGGGGGTCAGTTCATCCCTGGACACCCCAACCCTAACACCAATACTGGGGGTCAGTTCATCCCTGGACATCCTAACCCGAATTCGAACACCGGTGGATCCGGATCCGGTCACAGCGGTGGATCCATCACTCCGGGAAACTCCGGAAACTCGGGATCCGGCCACAGCACGGGTTCTGTTATCGGCAACAGCGCCTACTGAAGAAGCATGAGAAGATGCAAGGGATGGAGTAGCAGTGACATCTATCGACTGAGTCGTTAACTAGTGAAACGAAAAACCACCGCTAGGGTCCGCTGATGTTCATCGTGGTTCGCATGTGATTGAAAGTGTATTGCCGTGCTGGATTTCGGTGTACGTTACGTAAAAATACACAAGCGTTTGGAATTAGAAATACGGGATTTTGAGCCACTTCACTCGTGGGTACTCACGTTTGGCAGGCCAGGGCGAGACTCATGATGGGTAGAGCCTGGAGAACTCCTGCCGGTCTCCAGAGCTCCACCTCTGCCTGCCACGACCCGCTCACGATGTGACTCCACGAGTCGGCCACAATCTGACGGGACGATTAGTGACGTCATTAGATCGTTACCTGCCACGAACCGCTCACGATGTGACTCCACGAGTCTGCCACAATCTGACGGGACGATTAGTGACGTCATTAGATCGTTAATGTGACATTGAGGATTGTTTATAGCTCTGAGTGGAAGATCAGGATATATTAATATCGGTTCGAATGTCATACATATGATGAAACATCAAAACATGAACCCATTCATTCAATTACGGAAATGAAGGGAGCGCTAATCATACTGGCGAGGCACTAACAACCTGAGCCATTTTCATAAACCGTTACATTCTTTGCCTCATGCAGCATGTTTCTGAACATTAGTTACTACCCGTAAAGCATCGCGTGTCAATCCGGTTTCACGTACAATATCAGGAAAACTTACCACCGCACCATATTCGGCAAGAATATACCATACAACGAAACCAACACGGCTAAACTATGCATTATAACGCTGCCCTATACGAGTCCAATGTCCACTTATATTAAGGATGTGGTCACCCAGGATCACCCAGTCGTCATGATCAGTACCTTGAGCACCAGCAGGACGTAGAAGGTGATGGAGATGGCGCTGATGCTCGCCAGGCTATCCGTGTTTCTCAGAAGACTCAGCGGGAGCACGATGAAAAAGCACATCCCTGAAAAAAAAACGGGATACAGATGAGAACTAGGAGCAGACGGCCGGAGGCCGTGGGACGGCCATCGATTGATATTGTCTTCGTTGTCATCAAAATACGATTAACTATGCAGTAAAATGAAAAACACACAGCGAATATTGATATTATTATCAAGACCCATGACCCATGAGCATATTAAATTATGTTACTATAGAACACAAAATGGCCTATGCAGATACAACATGCCTTATAAGTACGCTTAACATTTAAACTCTCAAATTTATTCATCAGAGCAGGAGTATGCTACATACAGAGCATACTTCCCTACACTGAGTACACAATCTTATCTCCCGTCACGCAATGGTTCGTAGCTCACCACAGAGAAAGAAGGCCCGGAACCGTGGCGTACACTCGACCTCCAGCAACTGGGCGAGTATTTTGGGACCGAGATCGCCGGCGATGACGAAGAAGCTGACGCAGATGCCGAACAGGAAGCCGATCTGGATGACCTCGATGGCGAACTTGCCCGTCGGGCCGAAAATGTGAAACGCTGCCCGGCGGGAGAGAGAGAGAGAGAGAGAGAGAGAGAGAGAGGGGGAGAGAGAGAGAGAGAGAGAGAGAGAGAGGGAGAGAGAGAGGGAGAGAAAGGGAGGGAGAGGGAGAGAGAGGGAGGGAGAGGGAGAGGGAGAGGGAGAGGGAGAGGGAGAGGGAGAGGGAGAGGGAGAGAGAGAGAGAGGGAGGGAGGGAGAGGGAGAGGGAGAGGGAGAGGGAGAGGGAGAGGGAGAGGGAGAGGGAGAGGGAGAGGGAGAGGGAGAGGGAGAGGGAGAGGGAGAGGGAGAGGGAGAGGGAGAGAGAGAGAGAGAGAGAGAGAGAGAGAGAGAGAGAGAGAGAGAGAGAGAGAGGGTCGGAGTGTTCACATCATTTGAGGTTGGCGTGGTAATGCAAGCAGCTGACGGCAGTCTTTTACTAATTCCTGATTGGCAATGCTATGCCGGTTCAGTGTTCACACAGTTGTCAGAAAGAACACAAAAACAACTCAAAACACAAACTAATATAAGATCACGGAAATGGGTAAGCCTAATTGATAGTAAAATTTCAAATGACTTATCACAAAATGCCTGTCTACCTCGGCCCCCAGCGAAACTGCCCATCAATAGACCTGTTAACAGCCCTTGAGATCACACACATGATATAATTAATTTACCCAGAAATTCATAGCTGCGTCTCTTGGTGCTGATGGCCGATTTGATGAGAAAGTGGCAGTTGATGCGGTTGATGTAGCCGCTTATGATCAGCAGAAGGATGCCCAGTATCAGGCCACACTGTGGAAAAACGGATTGTTGGAAAAAATGGAAAGCAATCGACCAAAATGGATAGATAACCAAACCGACACAAGAACAACCAAACACCCGCCAATCGAAAATACCCCTTATCCTGTTGCGGGTCATCCTAGTATAAATACTATATTTTCACACCTCAAGCAAGTGACAACATAGAGTTCAGGCAAACACTCTTGCTTAGCATACACTCTAATCTCCCAATATTGCATCAACACAAAAGGCTCAAGCAGCATGGGTAAATACAATACAAATGAACACAGCATGTGTAAATACCTGTTTCAGGCAGTATGGCATCGCCAGAATGGAGACTCCTATGATCGAGTTCCCCAAAGTTAGGATCTGTTTGAGGTTGTTTTCAGACATTGTGAAAGGTGGATGTGTTCAGCTGTCAATCCACTGTCATCAGCACATGTGTTTTAGTCCCAATCTGACCGCACTCCTGCACTCTGAAAAAGAGAGATCAAGGTTAGTTACACAGACATTATTTATCAAACTGTAATTGTTTGTATTTGTAACAAATGGCAAATAACAATGTTTACTCAAATTCATCTTCTAAGTTCTAACCCAGCAAGATTGCTATATATAACACCTTTGCTGTGATATCTTAACCAGTCAGAAGGTGGCAAAAAGGTTAGGCAAGACCCTGCTGTCAATTGTCATACAAAGGCAGACCCAATTACATTAAGGTGGCCTCTGAGTCTGGTTTGAGGTAATGACCGCCGACTGCCGAGCCAACCTTATCGTTTTAGCCTTGGCATGGCTGTCTGGGCCAGGAAGACAAAGACCATGCTTGTACTGCTTTCTTTCAGCTAGGTACTGCCACCTCTGGCATCTTGAAGTGATGCCAGGCTTACCCATGTTTTTAGGGGGGTCAAAATGGTGTGTAGACCATAGCTGAATTGCAAAGAACACAGGAAGTCAATCTGACATCTGAACATGAAGTAACTGGTACTACCGGTGATCTATGTGCATGATTAAATATTACGTCATACAGTGAAGGCAAACTCATGTTATATAAGCCAAAATAGGGTGAGCCCGGGCAAGCCCGGGTGAGCCTCATGTAAGCCCCCCGGCCCCTCTCCCCCAAAGGCCACAAGCCCCTCTCCACTGACTCTGGCTTGACTCCGAAGCCAGAAGGTTGCTGTTGTTGTTGTTGGAATAGGACGCGTAGCCCTGCGACCCAAGCATCCAACAGAAGCCTGAAGGAAACAAATATTTTGACAGGTTGCATGCAACACGAAGTCAACAGAAACTAAAAGTAAACAACCACGTCTTTGCATCATCATGTTCAAAGGATAGCAAGCAAAGAGTGTTAGCAGAAAGCTAGAGCAGCCGGCTACTTATATCTTGTCAAATCGTGCCTTAATGCAAATCTGTAATAAAAAGTAATGTCAGAGCTTTTAGACAAAACTGCAATGAGTTAAACGGGATAAACGTCATTCAGTAAATAATAAATATACGCAATAATCAACCTTGGAATCATGCTACAAATGCTGCACAAAGAACAGAGGTCGCTGCGCTAGCAATGAAACAGTTGCGGAATATCTGTAGATCAAAGACAAGTTCGATCAGCTAAGTTTCGGTAGCTAATTTCTAACATTTTGTACCTAAGCCTAAGCCGTCCATATAATTATTAGACAACTCTAAAACATTAATGCGTGGTGGAGCTCAAACGTGCCTACGAACATACGCGGAGGACTGGGGGCACCCGGGCACCGTGCCCCCTTTGATTTGTCATTTTAACATTAGCCCTGTAGAAGCCTGTTTATGGGCGTTTTAGTTAGTTTATAGTTTATGGGCGTTGCATCGAAAGAATGGGACCAAAATAAGCCAGTGGCCCCTGTGGCCGTATTCACAATCACGGCCACCTTCTGCGCGGTGGGGGAGACATTTTTTTGCCCCCCCCCCCCCGTATCTCCGAAACCACTGGACGGATCCGTAAAATTCAAACGGCGTTCGATAGCCCTGTCAAATTTGTCGAAGGAAATCAAATTTCATTGACCTCGGCAGGGGCGTGGGAACTACTTTCCGACTGGGGGGGGGGGGCACACCATAATAGAGATCAACCTAGGGTACCCCCAAATCTAGTTTTCTCACCGGTTTTAGGCCACTTATTTTCCACCCCTCGGCTTTTTCAACAAAAAAGAAAACATTTGCAAAAAAGTGTGGTATTCCGTCTCAAAGCTGTGGGGGCACCGCCCCCACGGCCCCAGAGTTGGGGGGGCAAGCTGCCCCCACTGCCCCCCCCCCCGGCTCCCGCGCCTATGGACCTCGGGGTCACCGATGACGTCACAGGTCAGGTCAAAGATAAAATGTTTCACCGTTCACGGGTCTTCAAGGATGCGCTATAACACCGAGTAAAACGCATTTTGTAATTTGTCGAAAATCAGCGATAGGGCGTCAGCTGTCAGCAGGGGTGAAAAAAATGTCTCAGGCTGTCACCGACGGAAGGTCAGCTGACTCACGCCTAATTTTGACATTTGAGCAGTAGCTAAATCATTAAATGAAGTTTGAGATACGCTGAGGACCTCAAGGTAATCCTATCATGAAATAATCAATTTTCGACAGTCACAACTCACATCATTGTGCTGCAGTTATTGAAATCACAAACCACATGACCCATAGGCGGCGGAACGGGGGGCACCGGGGCACCGTGCCCCCTTGATTTTGGCATTTTAACATTAGCGCTACGGGCGTTGCATGGAAAGAATGGGACCAAAAGTCGGCAGTGACCCACCCTCCCCTCTTTATTGAAGGTGTTCCGCCGCAACTGGATTTGGGTGAAGGTAATTATGCATCACTTTTCGTCTTTGAGCCTATGGCCCTCTAATGAAAATTCCCTAGAGGAGGCCCTGCAGACTAGTCTTAAGCTTGGCAGAGTTCCACCGACATCATTTATTCATTTGAGACCTAGTCGCTCTGGGTCCGCAACAGTGCACCATGCAGCGCCATCTCAACAGCGCATCGGGCCTCGTGTTTACGACATTTATCGGTGCATAATCACCAAGGCTAATGCCGGGAAATTCCCGCTCGGCGATGCTGCGGAGTAAATTTGAGGAAGGTAGCAACTTAACTTCTAGCCTAATTGTGAGAAAAATGCGTGATTACCCTTGGAAGTTGAGACGAGACTCGTCAAAATGTATGTTATTAGCTCTAGCTAGCGCGACCAAAGGCTCAAGCCTTGATGCCACTTATAAGATAGGACATACGTCGCATGTCGGTAGGATATACGTAGGTAGATGAGATGAGTTTCATCAACGATGAAAAATCCAGGAATCGTCCATTTTCTTGAAATTATTGCCACAAAGAAAAGACAACAGATCCACGGTTATACTGACACAAACTCCAGAGTACAAGAACAGTGAGTATTGACTGTTTATTTACTTACTGAGACTGCAGGAAGCAAGCAGCTAGGTATACATACACATCTGTCATAACTTCCATGGTCATGCTGTGGTCGCCAGACAGTAGGTATCGTGGACAGCACGATCGTGCGGGGCCCGGACGCTCAAACCTGACCGCTTCCCTACATTATACCCAGTGGGTCCGCTATGGACTTTTGGTTCCGGGGGGGGGGGGTCTGTCCTTCGCCTATTGCTTTCTCGATCGGCCCCTGGGCTACGTAATGGCGGGAAGTGTGTGTGAAAATTGAAATGCCGTCAAAATGGTGATAGAAATGATAAGCGCCAGACATCTAAGGTTAGTGACATCAGCGTGTAGCCGTAGGTACCAAAGTCCATCTTAGTCGGTATAGTCGTAACAAATGTAGGTAAGTACCCTTTGACACTGGCACGTCAAAAGAGCTATAAGGTGGCGGCAAATTGTTTGCAAATTTGACATTTATCCATAGGTTTTAAGCGTTTTCCCGTAGTAGATCCTCGTCGGCAAGGGATAAATGATTTTCAGGGAACACAGCATGACTAAACATTTTGGCTGTGGGGGACGTGCTCTTTCTGTCTCTGACTGTGTGGTAGGCCCAGAGAATAGTGCGGGTGTGAACATTTAACATGGGTGTGACTGAACTCTGATGGCCCATGCTAGTCTCTGAAGGCCCAATGCTGACCTCAGGGGTCAACGCTGACAGGCGAGTGTCAGTTTCGAGTCGACATCTTTGGGCCCCACACTGGCTAAGGATCGGTTGACTGTTGTGGGTCACCGAGGCGGCCTCTGATAGCCCCGAACGGACCTCTTGGGACAAATCGCCGGCCTCTGAAGGCCCACGTTGGTTTCTGGGGTCACGTACTAAAAATTGATCATAGCCTCGAATGGGGCCAGTACTTTCTTCTAATAACAACAATATTGTAATTCTAATTGCAATGAATAAAACACAATGAATGCCTCGTAAACGCTTATCAACAATAAATGTGTTTTTGGAACTCTTAACATTCATCAAGGTCCGCGATGTCCGCACTCGAATGGGCCTTGACCCGTAAGGAAACATTACAAATGCTATCTCGCTGGGGCGCAGTAAGCAGTCACACCCGAATTCGACTTGCTAACGATGTAGGTGACAAGATACGTTGTTGTTTTGTGCAGCAAGCACTTGGTAGTGGGGTACTCCCAGCGGCCAAGGTCAATGCAGTCGTCCTCTTGCGTCGTGCACCCTGATGCCAACCTGTGAGGGCTCTCCCAGGGGTCCTCAGTCGAGCCGACACCCCCGGCCGGTGCGGTTGTGACCAGTGCAACATGGTGCTCCTGCTGACCCTCCTGCTGACGGCGGCTGTTGGTGGGTGGGCCGGCGCCCAGCCCTCCGACCGCTCCTCCGACGACCTCCAGCTCGGCTGCAGGGACCACAACAACCAACTGGTCGACTGGTACGTGCTGTACAAGCTGCCAAAACCCAAAAGTCAAAAGTCAAAAGAAGAATTCGCCGGCTTGAGCGAAGAAGAAAAAGACTTTGTCAGAGAAGGCTCGGCCTACCTGCACATCTCGTCGGCGTCGACAAAAGGCCCGTGGAGCTTGTCCAAAGTGCCCATCTGGGACTCAAATTCTCACCCAGGTCGAACGCTGGAGCCCGTTTACAACTACGGTCGGAGGTGTCTTTTTTACCGTTTTTACAACGACCACTGGCCAGTCGATGTAAATGCACACTGGGATAAAGGACACACCAAGGGGGTGCTTGCCTACGATGGCAATTATGGATTTTGGATGATCCACAGCGTGCCCAAGTTTCCTCCAGCGCCGAAAGATGGAACAGGCTACAGCTACGCATCCAACGGACTTCGGTTCGGCCAGAGTTTCCTTTGCATCTCGTTAAAATATCTTTCCGAATTCAACAAGATCATCAAGCAATTGCAAATTAATGAAGCCTTTTGTTACGCTTGGAAAGACCATGATGATGATGATGATTATGTTAGTCTAACAGTCCCACGAGAAGGCCCATGTCGGCTTGACAGATATGGCGGAAGATTGCACCAAAAGGAGGACTGGGCCATCCAATTTATCAGGGGGGACATGCGCATATTCGCCAAGAGCAGCAGCTACCACGTCGACCTGTACAGCGACCTGGTGGCTCCCAACCTGACGACCAGCCTGTACGCGGAGACGTGGCGGGCCAACCTGTCATCCAGCTGTTCCGGCCTCTACCACGTGGAGGACGTGCGCAACGTCACGGTCACCACGGCCACGGGGAAGTTCGGCTTCCCCTCCACCAACGACCACAGCAAGTGGGCCGTGTCCAAGGACAGGACAAAGCCATGGGTCTGCATCGGCGATCTCAATCGGGCGGTATCACAGATGAGGAGAGGTGGCGGCACTGTTTGTTTCCGAAATTACAACCTCCGGGACAACTTCCATGATGCGGTGTACGTGCCCAATTCAGAGCGTTGCCCCTACCATGAAATGAGTATTGATAATCCTGAGTTACGATTATGATCCTGAATTATGATCCTGAGACTTACGATTCTGATCCTGAGACTTACGATTATGATCTTGAGCATGATTATGATCCTGATCCTGGGTATTATGATTATTATACTTACTAGGAACAGGATTCATATGTACCTATGCCTGATGTCCGTGAAGTTGGCGACGTCGCCAGCGACTTTTCCAGCGACGAGAACCGATTTTAGATAAAACCGCGTTAACCCGCGCCGGGCCGGGGGTGTTTGAACATCCCCCTGCATTTTTTCGCCGATATCTCAAAAAACGGCGGCGCGGAGCGCCGCCGTTTTTGGCACACCTGTTCGTGCATCTTTTCCGCACATGTTGTGAAAATTTCAGGCCCAGGTCGCCCAATATCAGGTCACCAGGTCACGCCAAGTGACCTCGTCTCAGAAAAAAAGAATGCTCGTCATAGCTACAACGACTGAACGATTGCCTTGAAACTTTCAACGATTGATAATTGTAACGGTATCTATAAAATGTATATCTCGGAATTTTAATATCGGTGACCTAAGGTCAGTTCAATTTTGCGGTCTCTCCATTACCAATGGGAGAAAATTGAAAAGTGTCTGTTTTGCACGAGCGTTAATCTAAACATTCTCAAACATCGAGATGCAGGTAAAATTGACACACTGAACCGGACGATGGCAACTGTGACCCCTCGTTATGTCCCCGAGGCAGGGCTGCGGAGTCGATGGATTTACGGCGACTCCGACTCCGACTCCGACTCCGGCTTTCAAAAACCAACTCCGACTCCGACTCCGACTCCGGGCAGAAATGTCGACTCCGATCGACTCCAACTCCCGACTCCGACTCCGCACACCTGGCAGGGCTGCGGAGTCGACAGATTTTCGGTGACTCCGACTCCGACTCATGCTGGGGTTTCCAATATCGACTCCGACTCCGACTCCGGTCACAACTGTCGACTCCGACCGACTCCGACTCCGACTCCGACTCTGACTCCGCAGCCCTTTGCAGCGCTAAGTTGGCGGGCTGTAACTCTATGACGGATTATTCAAATGCCAAATGTTATAAAGCATTGAACTTGCAATGAAACAGCGATTAATATGTATTTTTGAAAGTAAATGGCGAAGTACTAATTGCGTGAACAGCATTATGACATATTTTTCCTTTAAAACATAAGGTTTTAAAGGAAACATATGTATTATTGAAATTGTGAAACATACGCTATTTTTGACATGACATATCGAGTTTTCTTTCATTTGCATTTTTTGGAATTTGGGACCAATTTTTTGAATTTTTATTTTAAAAAAATGTTTGGCTCATTGTTAAGAAGCGTGCAAAAAATTAGGAAGGTGTTCTTTCTATAAATGTATTTATTTTGCGTCACGATAACGGTCTCGAATAGTGATTTCGGGAGGGGAGCTTACAAATGGCGTATTAACCCTATTAGTGGCAGGGGGGGTTGTTTTTATCCACCACTCAGGTTTTTCGGGAATATCTCCGAAACCGCTGAAGCTACGATGCTGAAATTTTCTGACTTTTCCTAAAACTAAATTGGGCACATTCCCTGAAAATTTCAAGTTCATAACTTTACCAGGGGCGGCTCCAGAGCACTGGGAATTGGGGGGTCCTATTCGTGAAGCGAGTCATTTGGGCGAAGATCACGATGCTGCACCAGTTTTACGAACAGTGAATGAAAGGTATCATGTGATAACATATACAGTTATTCTGCATCCTCTTTTGACACGTTTTTGCTATAATAGGCGGATCCAGGCGTCTAAAAAGGGGGGTTATGTTTTACCTCCCAACATAGGTGCCCTGACACCGCCTATGCATGACCAATACAATTGTAGTCGTTCTCTCATAAGAAAATTGTAACATAACAAGACCATTACCACCATTTTTAGAAACAGTACCAACAAAAACCTTATTTACTATACTTTTTGTGTACCCCCAATCTCAATGATCTGTATCCGCCTATGATTTTTGAAAATGCATATTTTTGGGATCCATGTGAATTCCTGGTTCATTCTCTATCGATCGGCAAAAGTTGCGCTAAGATTGGTTCAGAAACCTGGCCGTGATAAACAGTCTAAAATGTATCTGCAATTTGCCCGTTTTTACCCCCCTCTACCCCGCCTATTGACGTTTTTTAATTTTTATTTTTTAGAAATGTAGATCACGTTGAGCGAAATCGAATGCCGTTTGAATTTTGAAAATCGGCCCGTTAGATCTCGAGATATCAAGGGGGGGTCGTAAACAGCCCCCCCCCCCCCCCTGCCACTAATAGGGGGTAGCCAGGAGCCTGCCACTAATAGGGTTAAAGCTGCCTATAGTGGCATCATGGGTTACTGAAATTTCAATTGAAGTCTGAGTCATCTGAAAAAAAAATGAAAAGAGGATTCATCCAACCCTCTTTCCTATAAGCGCGAGAGTGAAAAAGGCTGTTTGGTTCTGACATTGTTTTGGACGCCAGTGACCATAGCTGTCCGAGATGAAAGTTACAGGACGCATCATGGTGTCCTCCAGAGGTCTCACGACTCACAACTCTCCAGAGGTCTAAAAAATCAAGGAATTTTTAAAGGTCACATGAGGTCAGGTCGGTCACGTGACATCACTGTCATAAGTCAATGGGGAAATATAAAAACTGTTATTTTGGCGCCGAGAATGATCTAAAACTATCTCACGTACATGGTATCGTGATTTCATGCACTCTTTGCAAAATCCAATGCTTCACTTTTGCATTGTTAACCTTGCGTGAATGACGTCACTAGGGTCGAACGAGTTTTTCGTCAATAACTCCCGATCCAATTGAGCTAGAGAGTCGGGAAAGCCACCAGTGGACTCGGGAAGACCTTCCGAATCGAGTGATATGCCATACTCGTATGATATCATTTGCCCAGCTTCGTGACCTGAGGGGCTCTGACCTGACCTTGACCCGAGGTCAGCTACTTAAGTTGACATCACCCAAACAAAAAGTATACCATTCGACGCACTTGAGCTAGGCGAACACAATGATTCCAAAATCGCGGCCCTGTGGCCATTTTTTGCGAAGATATTTACTAAAAACCGAACTCGTAACTTCAGTCACTTGACCTGACCTCAGACGCTACCGGTTAACCTGAGACTTTAAAATCAGGTACTAATCGCTGCGACTTGTAACGGCACACACGCTCGTTTTTTTCCGCGAGTCTCTAGCTCTATTAGAAGCGAAACGGCGTGCTGGGGTCGTATCAGCCCCCCGAAACCCATTTTGTTTGCGGGAAAATGAGAAACCTATAGAAAGAACACCTTTCTAATTTTTGCATGTTGATAACAATGACATGACGTTTATTTTGAAAAAATAAAAATGTGAAAAATTTTGGTCCCAAAAGTCATTAGAGGCAAATGAAAAAAAAAAGATTTTTGTTCAACAAATAAAAATTTTTCTTCAGATTTTTTTAAAAAGTTACATTAATCTTAAACTCATCGCAAGCTTAGTGCTGTTCACCGTTTGTTAGTTACCCGTTCTTGAGTTATAGGCCATCAAACTCACCGTTACAAACCGAAGTTAAAAAAATGTAATGCAATATAACTCAAAAAGTTTTGATCTGAGAAGTCTGATATTTTGCCAGGCGTCTTTGGTGCCTATAATTACGGTAGTTAGCGGTGGTAGTTAGTGGTAGTTAGCCTATATCACCACCGCGTTAGCGGTGGTGATATAGGTAGTGGTAGGGAGTAGTGGTAGGGATAACAGTTTTTTTTTTGTTCACTTTTCCTCTGCACGTTTCCGCTTATACCTCCGCTTCAAGAGGACTCATCAATATGAGGCAAACACCATTCGAGAGCAAATGTTATGGCCACATTATGGCAGGCGCGGGAACCGGGGGGGGACAGTGGGGGCAGCTTGCCCCCCCCCCCCCAACTCTGTGCCCGTTGGGGCGGTGCCCCCACAACTTTGAGATGGGATACCGCACTTTTTAAATGTTTTCTTTTTTGTTGAAAAAGCTAATGGATGAAAAATAAGTGGCCTAAAACCGGTGAGAAAACTAGATTTGGGGGCACCCTAGGTTGACCTCTATTATGGTGTGCCCCCTCCCGCGCCCTTGCGTTATGGCCACGTCGCGAAGCAAGTAGTGTCGCAGCCGCTTGTTGATGCTTAATATTAGCCGTTTTCACGACGGAATACTAATAGATACCTGTTTGGTCCTTTGATGCCTCAGGAATTTTAATAGTTCTTTATAGTAGGTTTTCAACCTTTCGAATGAGTGGCCCCTTACTTCGCTGCTTTTCTACTAAATATTACATTAATTTATTTTATTTAAGGCTCTACCACTCACGTAAACCTAAAGCGTAAGCACGTTTATGAAATTATCAAATCTATATAGTGCTAGTACAATGATTAGACAATATACTAAGCTGCCAGCTGCGGGTGACCAAGCTTTTCAAATTCCACGCCGCGCTGGCTTGGCTTTGGAGCCGCAGCAGACGGCGGAAGTCAATGTCACTGCGCCCGGGCACCACCATGGCTGACCGAGCTCCGCGAATTACACGCTGGCTTGGCTTTGGACCGCAGCAGACGGCGGAGGTCAAGGTCATTGCTAGGGCGGCGGCGGGCGCGCAGCGTCGGGCCGGTGAACCAGAAGCCGGCTGGCGAGTACCTATAGCGTGCGCTCGACATCCGGAAAATGAGGGATAATTATCCAGGATCACCGGTAATAATTCGGTATTGCAGGGACCATCGATGTAATTCGTCACACTGTAGATTGCTTTTGCTTCACTTATGGCTATGTTACTCGTTGTCATGTCCGTTGTACACGGTGTCAGCTTAAAACACCGAATGATCCCGGTGATCCCGGAAAATTATCCCCGATTACCCGGATGTCGAACGCACGCCTATTTTTTGTTTTTTTAGTTGCCACGCTGATTTGCTCCCTCATAGTAGAAAGACGAGACAATAGAACCGAAAATTGCTTTGTTTGTAAAAAGTAAGTGATTTCAGGGCAAAACTGCCCGGATTACAACTTCTAAAAATATTTTGAACGTCA